TAAGTGAGTGAACCCCTGAATGAACGAAGAAACTCAAAAAAATTATATCCTCTCTCAAGATGTCACAAGCTCTTGTGGAAGCACTGGGAAGGAAGAAATCCACAAGAGAAATAGACATGAAATAAGAGTTAAGGTCAGACTGAGAAGAACACAAGAAAAAAGAGGAAGATGGTCTGAGGGAAAGATGGGAATGAAGCACAAGAAGGCGACCCAAGTGGCATGGGGGGCCGAGCTGCTGGGCCCAGAATAAAAACACAGACTTGGCCTTGAGAGAAAACTGGAGAGTGTCAAGAAGAAGCCCAGGGTCTGGTCAGCACCAACCCGAGGCATTTATTTCCGCATTCATCCTACCTTCTCCTCTTTTCCTTTAGGCCATGGAATGAAGGGGTTGGGGCCCATCACCTGAGAGGCAGAAGTCCCGAGATCCAGGTTAAGCCAAGGGTCTAACCGATAAATTGGAAGGAAAGGTCTCTTGGTAGTATACCCATCCCCTTAGGACTACAAATTCTTCTGATGCCACTGAGATTCCCCAAGCAGTCTTAGGGTCCCTTCTTTACAACACCAAAAACAGACTCTTGCTTTGCAATTAAAAAGCTAGCAAGGGCTTTCTCGGAGTTAGGAAAGGCTGGCAGGAAGCTTTCAGCTCCTTGGAAGAGAGTCTTCCACCGCCCACTTTCAGATTCAAATTCATCATAATACTTCAGCGCAATTAGGCAAGCTGCTCAGTTGTTCCAAACATCCATCTCTCTTTACAAAGTATCACTGAAGTCTGTCAAAGCAATGTTGAAGCACCCAGCACTCTCCTCCGTGAATGCCATTAAGGACAGAGGCCTTGCAGTATGTTCATGACCTCATTCACTGTCCCCAGCTGGCTGGGGACAACACTATTACTTCCTTGCCTTTTCCTCTCTTCAGGCCCTCTGCCCAAGCCTCTTTGTTTTTCTTTCACTTATTCTTTCATTCACTCCTGCAAGAAACAATTACTGATCTTTTCCTAGGCCAGCGATATGAAACACCATACCCTCTGGTGATGCTCAACAGCAGTAAGCAGCAGCTTCCAGTCATTCATGCAGTCATGAGGGTAAACAACCAGTACTCCACTGTATCAATAAAATACACGAGACAGCCAGCATATTTTTATAAAGTAGGCTTTGTGTTAGATGATTTGGTTCAGCTATAGGCTAATGTAATTGGTCTCAGCATATAAAAGGTATACTAGGCTAAGCTGTGATGCTTTGGGTAAGTTAGCTATATTAAATGTACTTATTAAATATACTTTCTACTTATGATATTTTCAACTTACCATGGGTTTGTCATGCTGTACCCAAGGTATATGCGCCTCCATATATATCTCTGCATGTATGGGAGTAATAAGCCAGGTAAGGTTCTTTCCCTTGTAGATTTCCTTGGACTTCTTTCTCCATGTCCTTTATTTCAGTTGTAACAAAAGAATGGTGAAAAGGCCCTTTCACTATCATAAATTGCCTGTGTTCTTGGGCCAGCTGTGCAACTAGTCTAAGGGGTAAGTAGATTAAGCTCTTAAGATCTAATTTTTTCCTTCTGTAAATATAAGTGTTGATTAAGACCAGTCTATAAGACTTTCTCACAAGGATTTTTCTTCAGGAGCTCCTACTTAATCTGACTTTCATTTTGCAAACACACACACACACACACACACACACACACACACACACACCCCTTTATCCTAAACACAGTAGCCAGACAAATCTTGTTGAAATATTAAGTTAGATCTTATTATTCCTCTGCTCAAAATTTTCCCTTGGCTTTCTGCCTCACTCAAAACAAAACTTAAAGTCCTTACTGTGTCTTGGAAGTAGTCCTAGTCCCCACCAACAAGAAGTGGGATCGCTCCCAAGGACTTTTCAAACCTCACCTCCGGTTACCATCCCTTTCGCTCACCCAATCCAAGCACACTGCCTTCCATGCTGGTTTGGTGGTGGTGGTGGTACCGGGGATCAAACTCAGGACCTTGCGCTTGCAAGGCAGGTGCGACGCCACTGAGCTAAATCCCTGGCTTCCACGCTGTTTCTCGTCTACTCCAAACATCCTCCCTTCTCAAGTTTTTCAAACTTGCTTTCTCCTCTTCCTGGAAACTTATCCTCCCCACTCCAAGGCCTACAAGGCTCGATCCCTCACTCCCCTCAACTGCTTGCTCAGTGTTTTCTTTCCAGAAGATCTGACCATCCTGCATGAATAGGATCTGCATGACACTCTCTGTCCCTGGCCTGCGTTTTTCCTTTTTAATCTTTATGATTGCCTAACACATATTTCCTTCATCACCTTCAGTCTCTCTCTGCTGGAAGATACACTTTATTAGAATAAGGATCTTTGCCTGTTTTATTCCCTGTTATATCCCCAGTGCCTAGAATAATATGTAACACATAATAAATGTTCAAGAAATAAGAAGAAAACAATGAATCCTTTCTAGTAATAAGTGTCACTGTGTGTCAAAAGTTATTGATACTTAGTTGGATTCAGAACTGGCTTCTGGGACCTCTAAAGGACAGATCAAGGGCTGCAATGGCACTGTGCAATAGGCTATACAGAACACTTCCAACCGGCATTCCAACAGGAATGGACTATTAGCTCAAGCGGATCCACTCCACAGAGAGAAGACTTGTGTCTCACAGAATGATGATTTACAGTAAGATAAGACCTAAATGTCATTTCTTCTATGACATCCCTTGCAATGAGAAGAGTGGGCCTTTCTGTCATTTCTGTACTTAAGCCTAGAGTTTACTCATTTATCCACTACAGCCACTATCCCTGAGGCAGAGATGTAAGAAGGACATGAGCACCCAACTAAACCCAGAGATGTTTATTTTCCATAGGGGCTTACACAAGACCAGGAAAATCTGGGTATACTCTTTAGTGGAATGACAAGAACATATAGTATGGAGTAAAAAGTATATATTAACAACCATAAGGTACCTTTCTCACTGAACCTCTGAAGCAATCACATGTTCCAGGGTTTTAAGGTACTATTTATCTTATATATTTTTATATTCCCAATGCTTGGCCCTTGTTCAATTCACATGTGCTGATTAAATGAAGGTGTCAGCTTCATAGTAAAGAGAAGTCTATTAGAAAACAGAATCCTGTCCCTGCAGGTAATAGCTACTCTCATCTCCTGCACAGGTCACAGCCTTGGAGCCATTCACACTCAAAACAGCAACACACACACACACACACACATACACACGCACAGCATCCCTTGAAGGAGAAGAAAGAAAAAGAGCAGCTGTCATACATTGCATCCGTATCTGATCACACTGGTACTTCCTAGCCAGATGAGGCCCAAGGACAAAGCTACCAACCTCAACTTATTTCAGGACCTGTGGGGGCACCCTAAAAACACACACATATTTACAAACACAGATATACAAATATACAGGTGCACTTCAAAGTCACTTCAGAATTCTAGAAAATATAAACAACAAATAAATTTATATACACACATGCTGCTTCTGTCTAAGCGCACTTATAAATGTACACACAGACACAAACATGTGCACAAGGATAACAGTATGTACCTTAAGGCATACTGAGAAAAGTAAACGAAATCATATGAAGTGAGTGATAGTGCCTGTCAGATAGAAGGTGTGATACTAAAGGTTAGCTTTTGATTCTATATTCTCTGTCAATGTGTGTTATATATATTCATTATTACATGTCATATATCTATATGTAAACCTCTTTCAGACTCATGTAAATACCCAACCACAAAGCAAAATGTCCTTCCCAGTCCCTGTGTAGAACATCACAGAAATTCTCCATGTGGGAGCCTACGAGAGCCAGTGGTGTGGGGTGTGTCACGGTGTGTCACAGTGTGTCTCAGTACAGAGGGAGGGGACGGGAAATCCTGCTGGTAGATGGCTGGTAACAATGCTTTCCAGATGCCTCTGCTTAGAAGAAGACCTGGACATGGAGAGAGCTGCACTGCCAAGAATTATCCTAGGAAGAGCTGGCCTCCAAGCACTCCAAAGAGAGTGCTCCTCAAGTTACTGGTAAGGGGAAGGGGGTGTCTTCTCCCAGCTCCCTTGGAGGGGACAGTGAATTCAAATCAGCCAGAGAATCCTGCAGAGGTTGTTAATCCACTGAAGTCCCATAGCTTAGAGAAAATCTGATTAACTCCACCTTCCCAGATGGGCTCTAGAGTGAAATGTATATCTGGTTTCTGAGACTCAACTAAAGTGGGAAAATAGAGGGACGGAGGACAGAAAAAAAAAACAGGCAGTGGGAGAAGTAAGTTCGAGAGACTTGTGTGTATTGCTCGATTCTGCTGTCGACTTGAAGCAAGCCCTAACTTTGAGGATGGGTGTCTCCTGCTTAGGGGAGGTGAGCAACACTGTCTCCAAGCCAGCTGGAAGAGGCTGTACCTTCTTCCTTCTCCCCCAAAAGAAGGCCAACCAAGGCAGTGCCTCTTTCCCCTGGAAACTATTTCAGGGCTTTTTATCTGTATTTCCCCACTACAGTGACTCTGGAAGAGAACTTCTACCTACCATACTTTTTATTTGAAAACCTCTCCTTTCCTTCCAGGGTCAAATATTCTATAGAACTTCAGAACTTCAAAGAAATTCAAGGATGTGGTTCAACTCCTCCCTTTTAAAATGATCAACGGTGCCCAGAAGCACGTCCGAGCTGGGACCCACGGCTAGGTTCCCCTCACCAAGGACTCTGTTCTTTAAAGACCGAGGTAAGATTTTGCCAGACCTCGGGAGAGCAGCTCCGTGCCTCCCCCACCCCACCCCACCCCACCCTACCCACCGGCTGTCTGCGTGGCTGGGCCGAGGGGGGGGGGCGGGAGGCGGGTGGCGCCCAGCACCCCAAGCGTTAACGCAGCCCGGAGTCTACTGCGCGATTGGCCGAGCCCAGGAGAAGATCTGGTTTTCGCAGCCGCGGGCCAATGAACACCTCGAGTGGGAGGGTTTGAAGAGACTAAGGAGTTTTCCCCCCTTTTCATCCTTTCTCCACCCCCTCCCACCTGCCACCTCCCCCGTTCCCTGCGCCGCCAGTTTGTGAAATTAATGCAGTAAGAAAGTCTGGAGCGCGGAGGGCGTCCTGGCCAAAGGCAGATGGGCGAGCTTGGAAAACCGGGATGCGTCTGAAGCCGCGGTCTCCAGAGCCCCGCGGGGAAGCCATGCGTCCCCGAAACTTGCCCTGCCGCCTCTCGCCTGCAGCCCCGAGCAATGGGGCGCCTCTCCCGCAGCGGTTCTAGCTTACCCGGCGGGGACCACCGGGCGGGGATCGTAAGTCGGAGCGGAGGCAGGAGAGCGGGGTTCAGACTCGGTCGCGACTCGCCAGCCTGGCACGCTCTCCGGGTTTAGCTGAAGGCAGCGCCGGCCCCGCTGCCCCGCGGCCCGACCCCTCAGCCCAGCCCCGAGCCGTGGGGCCTCGCTCAGCACCCTCGCCCGGGCTCTGATCGCCACGGAAGCCAATTCTTTTCCTTGCACGGAGCTGGCCGTTTAAACAGAAAAACAGGGGTATTAAAAAAAAAAAAAAAAAAAAGAGGGAGAGAAAGAAAGAAAATATTCCCACCCCCAGACGTGCCGCCCGGCGCCGCAGGGAACCCCCAGACTCGCCCGAGTTTACGCGGCGGCGCGGTCCGCTCCGAGAGGCGCTCTCCGCGGTGCTGAAACGCTTCGCGGCCGCTGTCCGTGGTACCGCGGCCGCCTCGCTTCAGCCTCCCGGGACTCTCCCTCTGCACCCCCGACCCCACCGCTGCTCAACCTCCGGATTATTTTTCCAGTCGCGCTTGCGGGTTTTGTAAGTGCCAATCTGAAACATTTTTGCCCCCGTAACTCGTGGGCAACAAAGCACAAGGACCTGGAAAATGTACAGCTTCAATACTCTCCGCCTCTACCTTTGGGAGACCATTGTGTTCTTCAGGTATGCAATTTTCTACTGACCACTTCGCCCTGGCGGAATCGGGGGAGGAGTGGGGAGGCAGACCCTGTCCGCGGTCCCGTCGTTTGGGGAGGGGGTGGCCAGGCCGCATCGGATCCTCCGCCCCCCGCCCCTCACCCTCCGCCCTCCGCCGCGGGGTGTCTGGCTTGTGCGTGGAGGTCTGACTGAGACAGTCGCTGCTCTGGCAGCTGTTTGCTTGTTTCTTGAGGTCTGTTTGTCCTTCCACCTGCTACACCCGCCAGCGCTGGCTCCCGGGCCCCCTGCGTATTAGCTCTCACTGGGCTGAGGACTTTAAGGGGGAGCTGGAGGAGTTACTCAGTTTAATTAGGACTGCATTCTCGCTAACCGCAGTGCCGAAAACCTCGGCTCTCCCGCCTGGGAGCCAAGTGACAACTAGCGGTGACGGGGAAGGTTGCACTGGAACTCGCTGGACACAAAACATCATTTTCTCTCCTTTCTTGTCGTTGTTTTCCTTTTCTGCGGGAGGAGGGAGAGGGGCTTCTGCGGCTTCGGGCTAGGAAGCAGTAGTGGCACGACCTCAGTTTGGAAAGCCTTGAACTTGGGTGCAGAGTGGCGCTATTGAAAGCAGATTCTCTGAAACATTCCCCCTTTCAAACTTTGACTCCCTGCTTCCCCACCACCACCTTTGCAAACTCTACTCTGTCAGCAGCAGACCCTGAACGGATGGGCAATTCTTGCTTGTTTTCCTTAATTTATTTCCATCCCTGATTCAATAGCTGGGTTAAATTTTTCTGCCTTCAGGCTTGGCATTCTTACGTTAGTACAAGTGAAAAGTGAAAAAACATCTCTTTAGGAAGGATTGAAATAGACAGGCCTTTTGTAAGTAGGTAAATCATGCCATCTTCAGAGATGGTTATGATAAATTCCATTTGTATGAATTGAAAAAAATTACTCTTCTCCCATGACCTGCAGGGATCACTAATCTTCCTCATTTTAGATTCTTACTTCTCACGTTTTACCATGGCACTGGGCTGAAAGACATTTTAAAACCCCCACTTCAGTCACTTTAATAACTAAATGACCACCACATACTATCCCTCTACCATCATAAAACAGCAAATAATTCTTGTTTTATTACGCTTCATATGAATTGTTGCTTTGACTAACCCATTGCTTGGTTTATAAAATTAATGACAACTCCTCCAAATTATACATAGTCCTATATGAGCCTCTCTTCACTTCTTGAAATGAAGAAAAGACCCCTACCCTTCCTTCTCTGAGATAACCAAAGCCAAATCTTCTAATCTCCAGTCCAAATGATTCTTTGATAGGCCACTGTCCTGGCCACAGCTCAGAATGTAAATGGTCAAGAAGTCAGATAGAGTGAATGAAGTACAACAATTTGGGGCCTTGTGAAATTTCCCTACTTTATGAGTGAAAAAGCAGGAAGTGTCATTAATAACGTCAGGTTCCTTTTCCCCTTTATACCTAATAGAACTGTAAAATGCTATGGAGAGGGGGAGCTTGGTAACATTTATATGCAAATTGATTCTCTGTCTTACCAGAGACAGGACTTAACTAGAGAGATAAAAGAGAAAATTAATAGGACCAAGCACGTCGTTCTACCTCCCCACACACACACATTCCTTTCTTCTTGATGAACAGTATGCAACGCTTGACTTTTCTCTCTCAGACATTGTCTTTCCCAAATGGGAGACTCAGTCTGCATGGGAATCATTCTGATAAGGTTTGGAGTCCACTGTGTTAATTCTTCAAGTAAACTGGGGGCGGCCTCTCAGGAAACGTCCCTTGCAAATCTCTTCCCTATGTGTGTGAAGCCACACATGTGTTACAATGGATGCAAAATATAATTCCATATGTTTATAAGGAAAGAAGGGTCATAACTTAAGAGAGCTGGCAAGGCAGCAGTACCATTGTAGTTCCACAGAGCAGGAAGGGCTACTTCATTTGAGAAGTAAGTGTTCATTTCTGAAACATAAAATAAGAATTGAATTATGGACATACTCTTAGCAATTTTTCAGAGACATGGAAAAAAGTCACCAGAATGTAAACAATGTAGATTGTTTCTGTTCAGCTGGTGTTTCCTTTCTAATGCTCTCATTTTTAAATTTTTAGGTTAAAATACTGAAATACTGAGGCCTCGGAACTTATTAGAATGGGGGGGGTAAATAAAGGCTGGCACCTCCCTGTCAGGTTCCATGTGAATAACCCCCAAGGGACAGGCACTGTTTTGGGATGGACCAATCCGATCGTCTCAGGCACCTTAGATTAAATGATGCCAGCTGCTCAGCTTACTGAGAAAATATGGAGGGTAGGAAAGCTCTTCATAACAGAGGTGCTGCTGCATCCGCAGGTAACTAGTGACATGACCACAGCAGCAGTGAAACAAACGGAACAGCAGTAGAAGTGAGTGAGCTCAAAATCTCACAGATGCCAACACAGAGAATACATAGGAGGCCTTCAAAAAGAAGACTTGTGGTCCTAGGAGACCAGCAACATTCTGGTGTGTCCCCCTAAGTAAAAGAGGTGATCTGGCTGAAGTTCCTGCTCTGATATTTCAAAAGCCTGAGGTTCTAAAATTTTTAAGTAACATCCAAAGATTCAGTAACCTAAATTTTATCTCACTTTAGTGACAGGGCCTTACATCCAGACAGATCAAAAATAATAGGGAAAGACTTTATTAAATAATGGAAACACACTACTTTCAAACCACCTTTTAAACCAAAAGGAGTTTGGCTTCAACCCCCAGAGCCTTTCCAAGGATTATGGCTAGGACAGGCCCAGAAGGACTACAGCATTCTCTTGCCTTCTCAGCACTTTACAGTCCCACCAGGTGTAAACCATGCTTCTCAACCTCGGCACTACTGGCATCTGGCGCTAGCTCTTTGTTGAGGGCTGCCCTGTGAGTTGTAGGGTGATTAGCAGCATGGTTACTGCCAGTGGTACCCTTCCCCTGCTTCCCCCAGTCATGACAGTCGAAAAACACCTCCAGGCATTGGTACACAACTGCAGGGAGCAGGGGAAGGGAACAAAATCACACAACTTTGGAACCACCCTATAAAATGACCAAATTTTTAAACAAAGTCTCTGATGTAGTCATTATAATAAGGAAGAAGATCTAGCTGTCTTTAGAAAAGGCCCCATGTGAAAGGCACAAAGCACTATGGTGAAACCCTAAAGGACCTAGCTTGCTCTTCAGAAGAGAATAAATACAGGGAGGTGAATCAGGTCTGGCCCCCGGGCGGCTGCCCCAAAAGATGATCGATTTGCCTTGCATCCTATCCCAGCAGATGAGTCTTGGTGCAGGCTCTTGTACTGAATATGGCACTGACTTTGCTAAGAAAGGTTACCAAAACCTTGAGGGGGGCCAGGGATTTAGCTCAGTGGTTTCACCGCCTGCTGCCCAAGTGCAAGGACCTGAGTTCGATCCCCGGTACCAAAAAAAAAACACCTTGAGAGGAAGGTGTTTCTATCCACACTAAGCTCAAAAAGAATACGGCAAATACATTGTTTCATGCCTGTTTAAATAATAATAGTAATAAATAAAACTCCCCTGTTGAAAGGTAAATGAGGTTTCCCTTGAAGTGGCCCCTCTGGCTTCCCAACCTCAAAGTGTGACAGGAGGGGCAGGTGACCACTTTGATCTCCTCCTCCCGATGGCCTGGCTGTATTTCGCATTGACTCTTATTTGCTACATTTTGGCCACGGCGGAAAATGTCTAGGAGCTTCTGAAATAGGCCAGGGACATTTTTCTAAGGAAAGAAGCCCATTGGGCAAGTTTGCAACAGGACCAGTCAAAGTATCAATCAGTTCACCCTCTTTTGGGGCTTAGACCCTTCACAGAAAGTACAGAAAATGACACATTCTTGTTCCCAAGTGACAGTACGTATGGGGAACCAAGGCCAGTAAATGAAGTTATGAATCAGCATATAGCAGCTGCATATTTGCAAAACTGGTAATGACCTCTCGGGGACATTTAGGGAATTTGATTTCGAGGCCACCTTATGAAAGAGGTTGCAACATGAGGTGCAGTAGATAGAGCAGCCTGGATGGTGTGAGCCCTCGCTTCCAAAGGCAGCTCTGGTCCCACCCTGAAGCACGACTATAACAAGTGTCTTGCATTGTGTGTACCCAGTTTTCAACTCAAATGACCGGATCTAAGCCATGCAAGTTCCCTTCAGCCTCTGAGAAACTCTTTATCCAGGGCAGGGACCCCAGGCTCAGGATGAACTGGCTCCGGTGGTGACTGCCTTCATTTCTCCCCCAGCACTCACTTATCATGTGCTGATTCCCAGGTCAGCACTAGGCACTGTGCAGGGATGCACACCATGATCCCAGTCCTTGCAGAGAAGGGAGACACTGCCCCCTTCAAAGGTACTTTAGCAAGCCCTTTCGCTTTCTCTGGGGCCAAAGAGCTCCCCTCCAGCCAGTCAGTGTGCACATTCTCTAACAGTGTCACATTTCTGTGGGTGTCCTTAACTTTATTTCCCTCATCAGCTGGCAAAAGCCAGCGTGATTTTAAAGATGGATGGTGCTGTCTCCCCACGTGACCATCTTGATGCTATTCTGCAGGTCTTAAAGTATGCTTGAGGCAAATCAGCCTTGGCCCAAATAGCAACAGACCTAAGATCCTAAGAATGTAACTACTGGTATGACCTTTAGAGTGTTCTGTGGCCTTCCTGCCCCTCACTCTCTCCACCTGTAAAGGCAAAGGATTCAACCAATTACTCTCTAAAATCATGTTTAGCCTGCCAGTTGAGGATTATCTTTTTCCAGTCTCGTCCATATTAGCACAGTTTTTGTTGCAGCCATTGCAGCATATTTCAGTTATTAACAAAAAATAGCCACGATGAGGTACATCCAGGCTCAAAAGTCTGAAAGAAGTAATAACTTCACTAAGCAACCTCAGCCTTGGGAGAGCAGTCCTTCCTCCCCTGGACACAGTTATAGGCAGATTCCACAGATAAGTCAATGCCCTCTCCCCAAGGAATCCAAGAAAT